ACTTGCTTTTGACTGGCTCTGAATCCTGCATCTGGCTTGTCAACCTCCGGTTCTTTGGACTTGAGCCAACAGCCTGTTGATCATGACATTTGTCAGCAGCCTGCCATCCAAGCTGTTGACTTTGGATTCATTCACGTCTGCAGCCACAAACCTGTCCTCTTCCTGCTGATCTCGGGTTTATTAACCCGTGTGGGGATGAGAATCACATCTGATCCATGGACTTGGAACTTGCCTGCTTCCCATGTGTGAATTTTCGTGATATACATTTCCTTATATGTGTCCATTAATAAGCTTTACTGGCTTTACTTTTTGAGAGAACTCAACCAAAGGCATCATATTAACTAGTATATTTTCTGTCCCCGCCAATGTAATATGAAACACTTGTCTGTCTTGTTCAGGCAACATTTCCCAGTGCCTACAACAGTCCAGAAGGTGTAGTGGGAACCCTGGTGGAGGAGTGGTAACACATTGGGCTGCTATAACCACAGGTCAGTGGGGCAAAACCAGCAGCCACTCTGCGGGAGAAAGGGTAGGCTTTATACCCTCTTACAGAGTTACAGTCTCAGAAACTCACAGGGCACCTCTGCCCTGTCCTGTAGGATTGCTGAGTCAGGACAATTTGATGTCCGGGAGTTTGGTTTCTTGAGCTCCTTGGATCAGGAGGTAGTTTTGCAAGCAAGATGAGGGACTGCTGCATGCTTTAAAACCAGGAAAGGTGAGAAGAGTTGCATCCTTTCACCAGAGTTATTCAGTCTGCATGCTGAGCAAATCCTCAGAGAAGCTGGCTTCTATGAAGAAGGGCACGGCATGCGATTGGGAGGAAGGCTTATTAATAACCTTTGAAATGCAAACGACACAACCTTGCTTGCTGAGAGTAAGGAAGATCTGAAGCACTTGCTGATGGAGATCAAGGATTGTAAATGTTAGGTAGCCCGAGCAGAGACGGGGTGTGTTTACTGAGCATGCTCCAAATTCAGGCTGGAGCCAGGAAGAGGCAGTACACCTAGCTGGGTGGTACACCTGGATTGGCCCAATCTAGGCCAGGTGGGCTTAATTCAGCCAATGGGGTCAACCAGCACTTGTGAACCACACCTCCCAGCGGAAGGCCCCAAACAGGCCAGAAGCGGGAGACCCCACCCTCTCTTTCCCAGCTGCTCCTCCGCTGTCCCGCGCTGCTGGGCTGTGGTCTCTCTCTGGCTTGTGTTCAGTTTACTGTAATGCCTTGTGGGAGTCTGCACGTCCCTCAGCCCATGGCCTGCCGTCTGCTGTCTTTAAGCTTCCCATTCCCGGATGTTCCCTGGCCTATTGTCCTGCCTGAATTTGGCCTTTGTGATGATTGGTGCTCGGTGGCAGGCAGCCGCCATGCTCATTGGACACCTCCGCCAGGCATCCAAGTGCACCTCATTTGCATGTGGACTGTCCAAGTGTACCTCTTTTGCATGCAGACCTGTTTGAGGACTGATGCCTGCCATTTCTTCCATATTTGGTAGCTGCGTGATTATTGGATACTACC